GGTATACCTTCTGTGTGACCTTGGCCTTCCTCTTTGGCAATACTTATTGCTGGATCCTGCATTTTCTGAGAGCAGGGAGCTTGCTTGTTAGGTAGATTATTATATGCCCAGATACCAGTAGACCTGGCATAGATCTAGAACAGGCTCATTTATCATTCTCTTTTTAATAAATGAATAATTGAGTTTAAGAAGCTGTAGTCTCAGAGAACGATCGCAGTTTTGCCTGAACTTAAAGTGAAACAATGCAAGCCATCAGGACCTACATGATATAAGATAGCCAGATTTGCAATGCCAGAGATAAGTCATAAATAGTTCAGGCTAAAATGACCCAGTAATGCCACAGGCAGACAGAAATATGTGTCATTTTATACGCGTGTATTATTTCAGTTTATAAAACATACCTGATTTAATAGTAGCACAGAGGTTAAAAACTATAAAAGAGTCTTCCCCAAAAATGTTGGAAGGCCCTGTCAATTAGTTAGTACCAATACAATAAGTATCCATATGGCATTTTTTCTTCTGAAAAGAGGTGGGAATGGTTTCCTGGGTGTGGACTGGGAGGAATCGAGAACACATTTTTTAAAGGAATTTTTCCCTGCTGGTAGGTATATTCTCTTTCCCATCATTTCCTTCTTAAATTTCATCAAGAAAAATCTGAAAATTTCCTCTTTTTAAATCAAAACTGATTGTAGGTTCTTTTGCCAATGACCACATTCTGTTTCCAGGAGGGCTGCTCAAATATGCAGACTAGAGACACCACTGGGAAACCTTGGTGTGGTGTGACACACCAAGGCTCGTGATGAATTTCAGCCACTGCAGAGGTGACATCTCTGATTTTAACCTCAAATCACTTTTCAGATCAAAGGGTGGGAAGGCGGGCCGCAGAGTAAGCAGAGAGTTGTGATGGTTGGAAGAAATCTGATTTGCTGAATTGCTTGAGTGGAAAAATTTATTTTGAAACTTGAAATGAATCATCACAAATTCCAACAGCAAAGGAGTGCTTTGAAAACTCTATCCAAAACCACACAAAAGTAAGCAAAGCAAAACTCTTGGAAGCTTTCTAAGGAATGAACAACGTGCTCACACCTTCTCGAAAATGTTTCTTCCAAACAACTGTGTGCCCAGGGTGAAGAGTACTGCTATGTGCCTAAGCCTTGCTCCATAAATAGGGGAGAGAGAATCTTCTAGTAAAATTCACCATCTCTGTGACATAGACATAATCCACATAAGATGAGACAAGGTAATAAAGCTGCTTCAGGGACCTTAGCACCTTGTTGTGCAGAACTCCTTTAGGGCTCTGAGTGCGGGCGGGTGTCCGAGGGAGGGCTTCAGGCAGGCCTAAAGGTGCTGTGCTGGGAGATCAGGGTCCCCGTGCTTTGGAGGTGCCCATTACATCTCAAACTGGAGTCATGCTCCAATGTTTCTTTGGGGGTGGGGTGAATGTATCCTTCTAAATGGCAAATCAGAGTGTAACAAGAACTCATTTATATTTAGGACAGTAAATCAGCATACATAAACAAGTAATCCAATCAGCTGCCATATCCTCAAATTTGCCGTCTTTCTTGATTTCCACCCTGGGCCCCCCAAAAACCCATGCTCTTGTCAAATCTTGTGTTTCTCTACAGAGGAGTCTTATCTTCCTGAGAGGCAAACCCCAGTACATAACTCTCCCACCTCAAACCCTTCACTGTGCCTGCCTGGATTTTAGTGATCTGACCCTCACTTAGCTTCCTTCTCTCTTTTCCAGCAGCTTCCCTGCCCCCACGTCTTTGCTGTAGCTATCTCCACTTGGGGTGCAGTTCATGACCCCAGCAGAGTCGTCGGTAAGGTGTGGAGACGTGTTTTGACTTGGAGCTGCACAGGATAGGGAGAGAGGGAGGGAAGGTTAGCAACCCTTGCTGCCAGCCCAGGGATGCTCAGAGTCTGGAAACGCTCACTAAGGCTGACCAAGGTCTAGAGTTCAGGCCCGCCCACTGGGACATGCTGCCTGTGCCCTCGTCGGACACCTCGGCTGCACTTACTTGGTCTGGCCCAGAAACGGTGTTTCAGCCCCCTTTCCCCATATTTCCCTTACCCCTCTTCATCACCTCCCAACTTACCTCATTCCATTCAAAAACTTAAATATTACTTTCTTGGAGAAGACTCCTCCTTGACTCCCTAGACTAGGCTGTGTCCCTGTATTAAAGCTCCACCCACAGCCTGTAGAACACAGCATGCTGGTAATTAAGCAATTACAAAGGTGATTCCTAGGCATCAACTCTGACCTTACGGAAGCCCCAGAGGGTCAGATCAGTAGAATGTATATCCACTGCCTGGGTGTCTGGCGCATCCTAGATGTGCCATGATATTGCTGAATAACTAAGTTCTCAAAACACGTTTCCTCCACCCTAAATGATTCCCGTTACCGAGTTAACTCTCCTTCAGCTCTCCCCAGAAATGCCAGAGCCATAACTAGCACTCTTGCCACCAGTTCCAGTTTCCCTTCTACTATTCACCTTTTCCTAAAGTGCTCTGATCATCATACTCTCCCTGATCTAAATTCCATACTGTCTCTTCAATCCCTAAAAAATTAAGTCACTCTCTTATCCTCACATTCAAAGCCCTCTGCAATCCAGCTTTCATCTACCTCCTCAGACTTTTCCTTCTTCCGCTCTTCAGGCTTCTCACAGTTTTCCACATCTGGCTGGAACTCCCCACAGGGCCTGGCTTTTCCCTCCATTCCTACACATGCCTACATGTTACCTCCTATATCAAGTCACTAAGAATCCCAAGTAGTGAAAGGTACCTCTCTCTCAGCTCTCTGAAGTCCAGTAGCATTTTATCTCTACTTTACTTGAAACAGTTATTTTCCACCTAGAATTATCCATGTGCAAATCTAAACTCCCTTACCAGACTACAAATGCTTTGAAAGTAAGACCTACACTGATTCACTTACCCAACACCTTTAGAATCTACCACAGTGCGATGCACAAAAATATTACATGAACGAATAAGGTTAATAAGCAGTAATGTAATCATTTATGCTATATACCAACAGTGAAAATTTAGATATTAATTCTAAAATATTCATTCAATTTGTTAGAGGAAGTCAACTAGTGAACAAGAACATCAATGGTCTTCTGTTGTTCTATGCCAAATATACTTATTATTTGCAATTTACTCCACCTTGAACATTTTTTATTTGATTGGTTAATTTTTACAACCCAGCTGAAAGTAAACGACTGTGCAGACAGCTTAATAAATATAATGAAATTGATGATGACAGTGATAATAATAAAAACTGGAAAAAAAAATCATCCTGTTGCCTGACTGCTGGGCAAATTGCCAGACTTGAGGGATGCTGATAAAGTGGCAGAAGCTAACTTGAAATTCACTTGGTGATATCTCTTAGGTAAATTAGTAACTGTTGGGAGTCTATCCCTTTTTAAACACAAACCACATTAGGTGAATGAAAGGATTTACATAATGGAATCTAAGTAAACAATAGCAATTCTACTATAAACGACAAGCCACAGTCTCAAAGCACGTAATCATATCTCCAGGATTAGAAAATCATTGTCCCTACTGCCGAATGGGGCCACGCTAAGTCCTTTGAAGCAGGCAAGTAAATGACCACCTTATAAAACCTCTAAGAGTCCAAGGCAAGCACTTTGGAGCTAGAAACAGAGTGCAGCGTCCAGATAAGGAGGTTAAGGGTCAGGAGATAGTACTGTAGTCAGTCCACAACACTTGCTGGCTCTTCCTAAGAATGAAAGGCCAGGCTCAGGGACAAGACAACTGCAAAACTGTCTTAGGCTCATCAGCCATATTGCTCGCCATCACCAGTCCCTCCTGACACAGTGAAGGCTGCCTCTATCACCAGATTGTCAGAGCTTCTAAAACAAACCACATTCCACACTGTTATATTTGAAAACTCTTACTCACAAGACCATTTTTAAATAAATTAAATCCACTATGAGTAAAGATAAGTCACAGTATGCTTTAGAATTTAAAAGAAAACGATTCCACTAGAATGTGTACCTTTTGGGGGTGAGGCTAGAAGCAGATCATTTTATTTTCTTTATCTAGAGACTTAGAGACCCTCCAAGGAAAAGGAGGTCTGAAGAAACGGAAAGAATAGGTCACAGGTCTGCTAAATTGACTGTGGGTGCATTTCCTCTTGTCAGTATTTAATAGGTTAAAGGGTATCAGTGAGCATGAATCATTTCTGAAGCACAAAGCACACTGACACAGAAACAAAGAAGCTTGGAAACTTGATATTCTTCGGTTCTTTGAACAATAAAAGGCCTTGTCTAGCCCACATTTGCAATAATTTTTCCCAGGGGGATTATTACAATTTGAGAGGGATGAAAGAGTACCATTCTCATGATACATTTTCATTTTCTGAGGCCAAAAGATATGTGTCTTTAAGAGGCAACCTTTGGATGTTCGTAGGAAGTGTGAACACATACAGAGTCAGCCACATTCCTCACACATCCTCTTCTAAGCTGCAGGAAAGGCTAAAACCAATCAGGAGAATCACTCCTCAAACAAACTTTAAGTTTGTCAACACATGGAGACGCTTTCAGGAAACTACGTATAAAATTAACTCCTTACAAGATTTGAGTTATTCTGCATGTAGGCTTATGAAGCTTAGGAAATGAAAGCCCCAGTAATTAACAAAGTTTCAAACTTATGGACAAAAGGCATCACTGTTTCATTACCTACAGTGCTTTTCTTTAAGTCATCTGCTCAGTTATTAAAAATAAAGCTCAGAGTTCCTAAGTGCTTAAACTCTCCAGGCAACTGGAAAGAAAATGGGTTCTCGCAGCCAGAATGGATGAAACCTATAAGCTATAAACCTGAAACTAGCTCTCAGTAGATTCGAGGTATGTTTTTCTTCTAAAATTTCTTCTTGTGATCTCTAGGTCTGCAGAACTAAGGGGGGAAAAAAAATCGTGAACCGGCACCAGAGGGGCTGCAAAGCTACTTGCTGACAGGTGAGATCATGAAGCGGTTACCATGCTCCAGCGCTTTCATGGGAAACCAGAAGAGGATGAGCGAGTGGACCAAGGCGTTGATGCAGTGACCCCAGAAAACCTATGGGAAAACAAACCACGGGGGTCAGGAGCTGCCCGCAACTCGTGACCTCTGTGCAACTCAACAGACGCCCCTCTGTGAAGGACACTGGCCCTGTGCTCAGTCGCTCCAGAAGGGGCCTACTATTCTTGATGTTAAAAAACCCACAATTTCTTTATTTTTACATACAAATGGCTGGACTACCTCCAGATAATATTACCTTAATACACAGACCTAAACATATACACACACATAGACCCATATACAATCTACCCATGTTCGAAAATGCATTGTGATCCATTTTCTTTAGAGTATACTAAGACAAGAAAATCTTATAATCATCCAGAAAAAGGGTATTAGTCAAAATTGTTAATGAGACTGAAAGTATATATTTTTGAAAGCATTAAAAACGTAAATTCTTACATAGCACTCTGACCCCTTTAACTCCTTAAAATCCCTCCCATTTAACTTTTTAATTTTTTTAGGATTTTGGTTAATAGCATGCAAATTTTTAAAAGTCTCTTTAATACTTGAAAGGTCAAACAAAAAACACAAAATTTAGTTCCTTCTAAATTACAGTTGCATAAATGCATTTCAATTATTTCTTTAACCACTGAGAGGACAGAACTACTACAGCCAGATTAAACTAAAAATCTACAGACTGTTCTGGGAACTGTCACATAGTTTGATCCTATCTAGAAGTAGGACAACAGAAAAAAAAAATGAAAAGAATGGTAAAGACAATGGGATCTTCCCATTTTAAATGTTCACTTTTTTCTTCTAGTTCCCTGACTTTTGTACTTCACCCCCACACACACCAAAATATCTTACATGGCCTTTAACTCAAACTCTGTAAAGAAACACATTTGATTTATGTAAATGACGCAGAGCAAGTAGGCCATATTTCGATTGGTAGTGTTATGATTAATAGTCCAAGTCCCCTGTGTATGATCGATACTAGAACCAATAGAATCCCTTTTTTTTCCAGGCTGGGACAAACCTATTTTGCTTTCCCCAAAATAAGGCAACTCTGAAGGAACCCTATCAGTAACACCTGGCTCAAAACAAAGCCTTCAGAGATGGTTCTCTGGCTGAGGACTCCCTGTGACACCCTTCCTAAGGCCCCCGTGGCTACCTGAGCAAATTGTGCATGCAACCGCACACGGTATTACCTGACCTGGGCAAGGATCCTGCTTAGACTTCCTAATCCTCTCCTGCACAAAAACCTAAGACAGAAACATGGCCAGGCGGGCATGTTCACACCTCTGTGCCCTCTGCCTCGCCAGGCACATGTCTTCCCTTCTGGGTGGTGGCACTCAACTGCTGAGCAGCAATTAGCTGTGCCTGGCAGGCTCAGTGAGACCCCCTTTGCCACTGACAACTGTGGGATCCCTATAACACCTACCCCGTCTTCTGCTCAGCTCTTCTCGGGACTGCCCCTACGTTTGTGGTGTAGATGCTTTCTCTTTTCTAATTCTCCAGAAAAATCTTCTGATTTTCCAGAATACCCACCGCTGACTTGATTCCTGCGTTCACACTGGGGCAGTTTTCCTCGTTAGCTAAAGCAACACTTCCTTTTAAAGAACAAACTATGCAATGATGGTGAGTGGGCTCTATCGGGCAAGCGCCCAGCCCACCTCAACGCAGGGCTTTGGTGAAGGGAAGGGGACAAGCCTCTGATGGCTGACCCTAGAGGCACCGGGGCCATGGGTACCGCCGGCCACACTGATATCAGAGGCACGTGTGGAGAAGATGGAAGGAGTCGACAGACAGGAGCAAAGGAACACGACGTGCAGCGGGGAAGCTTCCTTTATATGGCTGGGCAGCTCGGATTCATGGGGCTCGCGCACTGGGAGAGGGCAAGCATCCCCCCTCTCCTCAAAGGCTCTGCCTGGAGCTTCAGCTTGCTCCCAGGCAGGGTGACCAGAGCAGGAAGACTGAGAGCAGTGCCTCTGGCCTCGTGGGCGGCAGTTCCATGCGCCATTCTGCTTACCTTTGTGTTGAAGCCTTCGGCATTCTGGGTAATTTTGTAGAGCTGCGGAAACCTGAGCATGCTCTCCTGAGTGCAGGACCTCTCGAAGATTCCCAGGGTGAAGGGGGGCAGCGCCGTGAAGATCTGCATGGAGAACAATGAGCGGTTAAGGGAGGCTTTTCCCATGCACAGCATTCAAGTGTTTCAGTTCTGTGGAATCATGACTTTATCTTCCGTCAAGTCCAAACCTGAGACTCAGTGATTCACAACTCCCCAGACACCCTTCAAACAAAGAAAAGAAATGAAAGACCATTTTAACTGCTACTAACCGGCATAAAATGAAGATACTGAATGCTAAAAAACACCATCATAAATATTTGATTAGGCAAGAAACCCTGTTAAATTAACAACTACCTTCCTTTGTGAAACAAGTGGTGATTCAGACAGAGTCATGCTGTCGTTTGCTCTGTGAAGTGCTGTGTTTTCTGTTAGTACCGCCGAGGCACAATTTTACAACTTCCCACCCTGACTTGATACTCAAGTTTCAGGAAGCACAATGAGCTTCACCATTTATTCAACCGACAGACATTTGTTGGGAATGAACTATGGGCCAGATACAGTGATAAGCACCAGGCATACAGTGACTTAAAAACAAAAGAAAGCAGGAAGAGAAGCTGAGCTGGCCTCTGGGGAGTCCATCTACTGCAGAGGTGGAGAAGGGCAGCGGCAATAGGCATATAAATACACATAAAATGCAGTGCCCTGCGGAATTACTCAGGGAGGAGAGGGCGGAAGAGAAGGGAGAGTCCAGGAAGGATCCTAGGAGCAAAGAGTGGCCTGTAAGCTACTGAGCCTGTGACGTTTGGCAGGATGGTAAGGGGTGCGTGGAAGAGGGGTGCAGAGGCAAGCATTCCAATGAGCCAAACACCCCTCACGACCACACATGGCACATCCAGGGCAACTCCTGAGCCATCCAGGACAGCAGCTGGCTGAGGACGTGACGCAAGACAAGGCTGGGAAGGAGCCAGAACAGCTTCCCATGCCAGTGAGTTCTTGGGCAGATGGCATCTTCTGACACTTACTTTCGCCTGTAGGGGAGTGGGCATCTCACATTTGTGTTTTAGAAAGAGAAAGCCAGGGAAGAGGTTTGGAATAAAGCTGTCACTCTGCCTGGGGGCCGTGGTAGCCCTGGTGGGTCGTTCTACTTGTTTCTGCCCAGGAGTCACAGAGTCTGGGTCATGCACTGCTCAGCATCCGCGTGGAGCAGAGCCCCGCCCACAGACCCGGTCAGTGCTCCAGCCCACATGAGCTGGGTGTGTGTCCCACAGAATCTGGATGCACCCCAGTTATTGTCAGCCTGAGTATCTGGCCAAAGAAATGAGCCTTTTTCCCATCATTGAGGATAAAGCAACCAGAAATGTGGTAGCATCAAAGGCCAATAAAACTCACAGGCCCCTCCTTCACCCTGGAGCAGAAAGGAAAGCAGTCCAGGGATTCCCGTGTTCCCAGATTTCCAGGAGGAAAAGATGGAGAGCGGCTGCACTCATTTCTCTGACAGTAACAAAAGTTATCTGACCATCAGCTGGATGGAACTCCGACCAGAGTCTCTACACACCCAGGACACGCTCAGCCTGCTGTTTGCTTAAATGTGCTGTCATACATACTGTTTACGCTGCTATCGTTATCTTCCTTTCCCTTTTTGACTTGGCTTTCTCTTCCTACCCACCTCAAATCCTCTCGCACCCTTCACCGCTTAGCTACTAACCAGATGACCCTACCGGAGATTCTATCCTGCTTACAGCACACCAAATACACACACAAGACTCTTTGGGGATCACTATTCGTTTTACAGAAACGAGACATTACACACATTTTTCGTCATCACATCTTTCTTACCAATCAGTACATAATGGGAAGCCCTCCAAGACCCCCGGGTTTGGCACCAATGCAGTCTTGTTCATGCCTGTATAATAATTCATGGTGTGGATACATCCTATTTTTTCAGCCATTCGCCTATGCATAGGCGTTCATTTTGTTTCCAGTTCTTTGTTCCCAACAAACGTTACATAATAAACATCTATAGTCTACTGTGTTACTTTCTCTTTTATTTCTATGGGAAAGAGTCCCAGAAGTAGTGTTGCTGGGTAAAAAGGCATGCGTATTTCTAATTTCATAAGATGCTGCTTGATTGCTCTCAAAAAAAGGTTCCAATCATTTACCTTTCCCTTCAAACAGACAACAGTAAGCTTTTCCCTGCCTCCTAGGGGTGTGTTGTAGTTAATATTCTCCACTCTGAAAACTTAAAGATAGTAACTCTAAAGCTTAAAAAATTATTTCCTCAACTATCAGTGAGATTGAGCATGCTTTCATATGTTTCTTGGATGTTTGGATTTATAATTCTGTGAAATGTCTAGCCGGGTTCTGTGTCCACTTTTTATTCATAGTTTGCTTACTTTGCTGGGAGCTCTTTGAGTATAATAGATATTAACTCTGTCTTTATGTTATAAAATTTCATCTCAATGCACTCTCTGCCTAATGGCTCTCTATATGGTTTCTTTGCCATATAAAAGCTGTTAATTTTTTTATGGTCAAGAAGAGTACCTGAGTGTCAAATTATGAGTATGGAAGTTTTCAGGAGTTTCTTGCATGGTTCTTGCATTTTTATTTTTCATATTTATGTCTCAATTTATGTGAAATTTTTACCTATGTGGTACAAGATAGGAGTCCAGTTTTATTTTTTTTTAAATAAAAAGTCAGTTGTGAGAGCATAATTAATTAATCCAAACTCTTCCACTAAACTAAAACACAGCCTTAGAAATTCATTAAATTTTCACATCGATAAACCTAGGATCTAGAATTGGGATCTATTCCTACACTCTCTGACTTACTTGTCTAGTTCTATATCAACACCACATTGGTTTGGTTATGGCAGCTTTATGAGCTAGTTTGATGTTTACTAAAGATAAATAGACCTTTATGATTGTTCTTTTTGGAACATACTTTGAATATTTATTCTCAGGCGTGGGCTAATTCATTTATACTTTAGTATTTTATGCAGCTTCCCTCTTTCCCCTCCAAAACAATAACCAATGGGATTCTATTTGACACAGAAATTAATATATTAATTTTAGAGGGGTTGATTCTTTTACCATACTAAGCCTTCCCATACAAGAAAATAGTATGCCTCTTCTGTTTATTCAAATCTGTTTCACATACTTCAATAAGACTTTGTTTTTTTCCCTATAGTTACTATAAAAATTATTCTTATGCAATGTGTAATTTTAATTTCTCCTATAATAGAAATTATTACCCCCTTTGCCTTTCTAAATGCTCATTGCTAGAGTAAAAAAAAAAAAAGCTATTGATTGCTAGGACAGGATAGGAAAAAGGTTGTTTTTATATGTTTACTATGGACCTGGTCACCTCATCAAATTTCTTGTAATTCTGGTATTTCTTTACTGGTACCTTTTGGGCTTTCTAGATATACAATCATATGTGAACAAATCTGCACAGCCATATTTTCTGTGCACATTTATTATATAAGTACAGAAATAGTTCATCTTCTCCTATTTTTCTTAAAGTTATTTAATTTTCTTGGCAGTTGCTGAAAATTCCCAAACAATGCCAAATTATATGTCAGGCATTTCTGACTAATTTCCTAAATCAAATGAAATAGTTTTAACATTTTATCATTTACTACAATATGCTACTGGGTTTTTTTTGTTTTGTTTTTTTGTAAATAGTCTGGATTAGAGTTCAATGGCTTTTCTTTCTTTCCTAGTTTACTTAAAGTTCTTATTTTGGGAATGGCAGCTGAATTGCTTTAAATGCTTTTGCAGCTTTTACTGATGGGATCATGATTTTCTTTATTTTGTTGAATAGTGATATTTAGAAAGAGTCTTTTATTTTGGACCTCCTGTATTCCTGAAATAAATCTTACTCAGTCAAGTATTTTATTCTTTTGATACACTGGTGCACTCTATTTGCCAATATTTTAGTTAGAATTTTTATATTTATGTTTAAAAGTGAGGCTGTCTCACCATTTTCTTCTAATCATACTGGCTTGATAAAATTAAATAGGATAATTTATTCAATTAAGATATCATTGATATATAATCTTATGAAGGTTTCACATGAGCAACATTGTGCTTTCAACATGCATCTATATTATAAAGCGCATCCTCCCCCCCTCCCACTGCAGTCACTGTTCATCAGTGTAGGAAGATGCTATACAGCCACTACTTGTTTTCTCCATGCTGCACTGCCTTCCCCATGATCTACCTATATTGTGAGTGCTAATTATAATGCCTCTTAATTCCCCTTTTCCCTCCCTCCTCCCCCACCCTCCCTCACCCCTCCCCTTTGGTAACCGCTAGTCCCTCCTTGGAGTCTGTGAGTCTGCTGCTGTTTTGTTCCTTCCGTTTTGCATTGCTATTATATTCCACAAATGAGTGAGATCATTTGGTACTTGTCTTTCTCCACCTGGCTTATTTCACTGAACATAATACCCTCTAGCTCCATCCATGTTGTTGCAAATGGTAGGATTTGTTTTCTTCTTATGGCTGAATAATATTCCATTGCATATATGTACCACATCTTCTTTATCCATTCATCTACTGATGGACACTTAGGTTGCTTCCATTTCTTGGCTATTGTAAATAGTGCTGGGATAAACATAGGGGTGCATCTGTCTTTTTGAATCAGTGATCTCATTTTCATCGGGTAAATTCAATAGGATAAATTTTATGAAACAGTTTAAAAGACATTGCAGTTATCTCTTCATTAAAAATTAGATAAAATTTAGCTGAAATCTATCCAAACATGGTACCTTTGCCACAGGTGGCCTCTTTAGTCTCATTCTACCCATAAAATAAAATGATGTAAAAATGTGACTGGATATAATGAGAATCTAATGGGATGGTATTCGTTCATTATTTGGGGATATGTAAGAGTTTCAAGTCAGTTTTAATGCTATTTAATGTGCATGAAAATTAAATTGAGAAACAATGATTTGTGACTTAACTGGCTTGGAATCAAACATAAAAAGTAAATACAGAAGAAGAAAAAGCAGGAGAGAAACACTGCTTAAAGAAAATGTCAAGGAATAATCTAGACCAGAAGAGGAACATCACTAGCAAATATCTCAGATGTCACAAACTGCCTTGCACTGGGTCTCTGTGAAGTGATCCTGGAGTGGGAAAATTGGCTAAGTTGGACATTTTTGGAACAGAAATGGCAAAATTGGAATATAGACTAATATGGATTAGATACTAGCATTGCATGCACACTACATTTTATACTTTTGATCATTATACTGCAGTTATGTAAGAGAATGGTCTTAGCAACTATGCACTGAAGTATTAAGGAGGAAGGGGAATGATATCTTCACTCACTCTCAGCTGGCTCAGAAACAGATGTGTTGGTGTGTGTGTGCATGTGTGTCTGTGAGTATGTGTGTGTGCATTCACTTGTCTGTGAGAGAATGCAAATGGGGGAAAAGTGCTAATGATGGATGAATCTGGGTACACAGTAGTTTTCTGTAGTCTTTTTGTAACTTTTCTCTAAGTTTCAGGTTATCTCAAACAAAAGTTACCAAAACAATTTTGATGGGAGCAAACCTCCATGTGACTGACTCCAGAGGCCAACGATCCTTCTGACCCCACTTCACAGATCGCTGACTGTCCCAGCTCTCTGACCATTCCCTGGCAACCCACTCTAACACCTGTACTGTGGAGCCATAATAACATAAGGTCATTTCTCTTTCAAATCTACTTCTCTGCTATAAGATTGTCTTCTCTATAGGGACACAAAGTCCATAAAACATATTCCTAACCCTACGTCAGGTTAGGTCAATGACAGGTCATCGTGGGTCTTAAACTTTTATGTGCATAACCATCACTAGAGAATTTTGTTCTTTTTCTCAGTATCTCTGAGAAAGTCCTTGGGATAGGACTCAGGAACCTGCATCTGCAGACAAATCCTGGTTATTCTTATACAAATGGCCTGTGGACCATATTTTAGCCAACACTGTCCTACAGCATATCAGGATCTTATGCATAATAGGAATGCAATATAAGTCTGTTGGGTTAATTTAAATTGCCCAGGGTTGCAGAGAGCTAAGAAAAGAATCCAGTTCTCATGTCTGAGAATGAAAATTGGACCCAAATCCATTCACTGTGTAACCAGGTGATATGTATTCCAGTCTGTAGCTCTAAAGCATAGTCTCTTAGGTCTCAGCATTCTATTTATAAGTATGTATCTGGGCATGGGTACAGCCCTTTCCAGCACTAAATCATTACAGAGCAGTTAGCATATTCCCCTCTAAACCACCATATAATTTTAACCTACTCAAAAACAGATTTAAGTTCTGCAAAGTTAACAATCTGTCCAAGGGGAGGTCCTTGAGCCCCTATGCATGTGGTAGGCAGTTAGAGTAGCTTTTCCAGCACAGATAAACAGGCATCAATTCAGACCTGCTCTCACCACCTGTCACCTTTGTCTTTTTGGGCATAAGTATTAGCAGGAAATTCACTAATGCACTTTGCAGTGAGTAACACAGGCAAACTAAGTGACTAAGAGACCAGGGCTCTTTAAGCTGAAGATATGAACTCAGTCTTAGCAGCATCTTAGTCTACACATCTGACCTTCTCAATCTGTTAAGCTTCACAGGGATGGGGCAACCTAATGGATGCAGCATTTTATCATAGCTCTAAAAAAGGCAGGAGGGGTTGAGTGGATGGATGACTTGACTACCTAGCCACAAATGTATATACAGATGTATATATTTATAATATCATAATTTATATTATTGTATGTCTGGTAAGCACCATCTATACCTACCTATGATGGCTGTTTCAGAGATAAACTCCCATAAGGCAGAGAATGTCAGAGTTAGAGTCCAAAACAAATAGGAAAATACAACTCAAGAAATGTGCCATACTGGGATCTCTAAAAGCACTAAGCTATAAGCCCCTTAATATTCCCTGCCAGTAAAGCAGACCACTAAGTAGTTACTTAGTTGTGTTAGCTTACAGTTTATAGTTTATATTTATTTCTACGTTTGAATTCATTATAGCCAAGTAGCGAAGAAAGAACCCTAAAAATCATGAAAAATATCAAATAAGCTGACTACCATTCACCATGAGAGCTGGAAGTCAGAATTCATTATTTTAGCACTAACTGTGGAAGAAAACATTCTTCCACAAGGACAGATACTCTTTAAAGGACAAAAAGGGCACTAGATTATATACCATATACTCGTATCTATATTTAAGAATTCAGAAATAAAATTACTAAGTGGAATAAGTTTAGATGTAGTTCAGAAATTTTTACTTGAGCTAAAAACATGGAAATGTTGCCCAGGCATTTAGTAAGGAGGTAACAAGGGTCTATTATCAAGATATATGGGTTAATAATTTCATGGGGTTATTCAAGAATGATCTGCTATGATTGAAACCATGTGTGGGGAGTTTGGGCTTCTACAGGATGTGTCCCAGCAACAGAGGCCCTAAAGATGTATTTGTGCTGCCTGCTATGTATACAGATGATTGACTTAGATACACTTCCCAGACATAAACAGTAAAGGAATGTCACTGAAGTTCTGCATGCGATCAGATAGAGATGGAGAATGCTTACCACATTGTACAAGCCGATACACCAGCGTTCAAATAGAATCTGCCCAGAAAATCCATTAACAAAGGCGAACCAAAGCTGAAAGAGAAGAAAGTTCATGAAGTTTTATATCAATATTGACCTAAATGTTTCCATTCACTGAAGAAGTAGTGGGGAATGCGGACCACCAGCTGGACACAGCTGCCGAGGGATAAAGAACCACAAGACTGTAGCTGCTGTTTCTTCATAAAATATAAACCCCCGATATTGCAAACACCAATAGTTGAAGGAGAATTTATACTTAAGGTATACATCTAGGTTAAGAGGTAACATGCACATATTTATAAGAAAAGCAATTTATGTTTGACTTATAGCTAATATGTTTCATGTCAACACTTCCTCACTGACTGAAAAAATCTGAACTTCATGTTCTTTTTCCCTATAAAGTTGATTTGATAAATATGATTTAAGACTTTCAAACAGATAAAAATCATAAATAGAAAACAGCAAAAACCCATGGTCATGTGTGTTCTTAGTTCGTAACATACTGACCCTCCTTAATCAAGTAGCCGCCACCTCAGTGAAGGTCAAAACACAATAATGTGAAAGAACCATGCGCAAGCCATCTTTTGGAGTAACACGGGATGAATAAATAAATAAAATGTAGACTACTATTTGTATCTTCTAGTAGACTATAATTCAAGTTGATTAGGCAAGGCTGACATAAAAATAACTACAGAGTCAAGTGCCAGGGACGTGCATGACAAAGGAGTAAAATTATTTTTATGAGGGAAGCAGCGCATGCTTTTCCTTAGGAGAAGACACGGAGGCAGTGAGGTTGGAGGAGAAAAGGTGTGAGCCATCAAGAGGAAGGATGGAGACCCCATTTAGAAGGGAGTGTGTGCGGAAATATGGAATATAAAACGCTTCTGTTTAAAACCCAGCAAAATTTTACAACAGGATTCCAGTGATTTGGGGCAAAGCGTCCCATGCTAACCACAGAATCCACCGCAGTAGTTTAAAATCATGACAGACTAAATTTATTACTAGGGTGGAAGCACACCGGCAACACAGAACAGCTACCCCATGATAACAGGAGTTGAGATGAACTCTGCTACTGAAATTTTACTGAGCTGGGTTTTTCAAAATCAGTTTCTTGACCCCACCAGACTGTTTCTTAAGATAGGAATTGTTCTCTAACCTGTGCAATTGAACCCAGTATGATACTTGATACAAACAGGACTCACCAAGTCCCAGTGGGATCAAATAAAAGACCCCCATTCAACCACTGGATGAAGTTCCCTTAAGCATGACTCCCACCGTCTCACTCCCTAGTTCAAAAAACCACATGAGATCCCTCCTGAATCTAAGATAAACTTCAAAACTCCCTCCACATTCCCATTCACTCTTAATTTCAACCATCTCCCAGGCAGTCCCCATGAGTCCCAGGGAAGAAATATTGGTGGAGAACTGAGAATCAGAATCTTGTGTTGTGCTCTGTACTCAGAACATGTTTACAATACCTATTCAAATATTAGCCATCCCTTAAAAAACAAATTCAATCACACTGCCTCCCCACCACTTAAGGCCTTATCAATCAATACTTCAGTCAAATTTTTAATGCAGTGACAGCCTGGATCCACATCTGATTTAAACATATTTTTTAACTATTTCAAGGGTTTTAACCTAACTTTCCAATATTGTGTTCTTCTTTATTCTTCTATTCAAATAATTGCGTAAACATTGATAAATATCTAGTGACCACATACATCTTATTGCTTAATTCAGTTAATTTATTGTCTTTTGTTGAAGGAGACTAGTGATACTTCCACTGCCCTCCCCTTTCTAATATCAGTACCACCGTCAGGGATATAGGGTAGGCTTGAGAAAACAAATGCTAAGCAAAGGATGAAAGGTTAATATTGATTTTAAGAGAAACTGATAGCCTTTCAAAGACAGTAACAAAAAAAATTCAAAATCATGTGTCTTAAAAAAAGAAAAGAACAAGTAGAACAGAAAGAAAATGCCCAAAGATATAATAGAAGAAAACTTTCTGAAACACTCTAAAATCTTAATCAGCTAATAGACAGGGCACCCTTTATCCCCAGGAAACAAAACTTGTAGAGGAAGTTCAACACCCACACATATCCTGATATATGAAATAATAAGTTTTAAAATTTTTGTAAGATCAATTCTTTAATGTATTCAGGCAGAAAAAACAATTAACTCTGTGGACAAAAATCAAGTTGGCTTCAAATTCCCTCTAGCAGTATACAGTACCAGAAGCCAATAGTGGATGTTTACAAGTCCTTAGGGAAATAAAGGATCTCAAGAATTTAAATAAAAAATAGAAGCAAAAGAAATATCAGGAGCTGAAAAGGGAACATAGAGTGTGATAAAAGAAGTAATACCTAATACGTCTGTTACATTAATAATACAAAAAACATAAAATGATCAATGGATAAAAGAACAAAATCTAAAATATATACTATATACAAGAGAAACATGTCAAACAAATGTGAAAAAGAAACACTGAATAAGATTAAATTTTTAACACCGACTTACAAAGCCCTACAGTTAAGGCCCTTGCCTACCATTCTGACAACACTGTTTTTCCTTCACTGAACTATAATGGCCCTCTGCAAGCACCAAGTATGCATCCAGTTTTATTATTTTACACCCAAATATGAGGCAATTGTGTCAACAGCATTTGGTTAATAAGCCATCTTTATCTCACTTGTTTGAAATGCCCTTTTTATAGAATAAATTACTCTGGTACTTAGAAAAAATTATGTTATTTTTGTCTTCACCCCATATACTCAAATTAATTACAGATGGCTTGAATATTTAAACATAATAAACCAAATCAAAGCATTAGGAAAAAAACAGGAAAAAAAATTTTTGTTTGTGAAACTAGCTCTCTATAAGACATTTAACTTGGCAATTGTACAAAGATAGAGATAAATTCAAAACAATTTATTTCTATAGGAAAAAAATCAAGGAAGCTGAAGGGAATAATATAGTTGGATAAACAGTAAAGTTGAATAAATAGTACACACATATTTATAACATCTATGAAGACGAAGGCAGCAAACGCCCAATAGGCCAAGAATATACACAGTGTGATCACAGGGGAAAAAACAACTTATATGTATCAGGAAGCTCACTTTTTTTGAAACACAGACACACAGACACACAGACACACACACACACACGGCTATCATTTCTTACCTAACAGGCAAAGATTTAAAAGTTTGATGACCTGGGGAAATAGATACTGTCATACCCAGATGGTATTATAACATTGTCTACAAATTGTCTACAAATGTTCCTTTGACACAGCAATTCCACTTGTAGGGACATATTCAAAAGTATCTTACAGCTATAATCACATAGCATTCAACATGAAATTACAAGAATGTTTACTGTGATATTATTTGGAAAGACAAAAAATTGGAACCTGAATATACATTAAGAGCTGGCTGATGGAATTAGGGTTCATCCACAACAATGAAACACTATTCAGACATTTAAAAAACTAGTATGAATCTGTAAACACTGTAATAAAAAATCTCACATATATTATTCAATGAAAAATAACAAGGAATATATAGATTAATCATGGTTGTGCAGAATGGATGTTTACACTCATACATGCACGGTGACTTTCTGGAAGACATATAAGAAATTGTTAATATTTAAGTAGCAGAAACATACCTAATTATCTTTAGGTAGCAGAAACATTCTCTAGGAGGTAGCATGGAGACTCATATCTGTTGTAGTGTTTTGAACTTTTTAAACACCTATTTTCTTTATTTACGTAACTGTTTCCAGGAATAATCCTCAACTAGAGTTGATTTTGCCTCCAAGGGGACATGTGACAATGTCAGGACACCTTTTCATGGGTATTACTGGCATATAGTGGGTAGAAAACGAGATGATACTAAATATCCTACAATCCAGGACAGCCTCTACAACAAAGAACTACCTCATTCAAAATGTCAGTGGTACCACTGTGCAAACACCCCAGATGGAAGACATACATTTATGAGGTCAACCTGATAAAACTTAGAAATCTTGCTGTAACAGATCAGGCAAAATAATAATGTGATAAATCACATGACGCCATGATTATATGGTATGTACAGGGTGTGGGCCCAGAAAGCTTCATTTCTTTCTGAGGAATTCCTCTCTGACCAGACTTCATACATAGAACCATAGACCCTATTCTTTAGAGGCTACAATAGCATGGGTTGTGAATCAAGAATGTCACATATTTAGATCCTTAAACCAGAAGTATATCTTTATAAATGATTAATGAGAAATTACTTTAAAAACTGAGTATGAATTTCATAATACTAAGACATCAAGTTGTTGAAAATAAACACTAAGGGAAAAAAATCCTATGAAATGAAGCATCTCTTTGCCAGCATTAACCTTTGCTCCAAACAATCATGAACCATGGAAAAATTTTCAGTCTTCACTTCAGATTAACATCCTTGATTAGCTGAGTGTTGGGATATTTCCTCTAAGCTGCCAGTGTTCTGATTCCATCCAAGTTGGCACTGGCTGGGCCACATGTTTCTTCAAAGATTTTTGATATGTTTGTACAAATTTTTATCAGTTGCAGGTGCTGCAGCTTTTTGAAAAGTATAAACAAGCTCATTCTCAACATTCCCAATCAATTTCCATCTCCATTCAAATAATTCATCATTAGATATCAGACCTGTTTATTTCATTGGAAATATTTATTTGGTTGATAAAAAACTAAAACCAAAATACACAAAACAACTGAAAAAAAAAGTCCATCTCCTCATTTCAAAATCCATGAGCTGGTTTTCTCTTACATTGTAAACACTCAAACTTGATTTCGTTTTGGCAAGATTTCCAAAGGTGAAATGGAAAAAGTATGAGAACATACTGTATTTTTCAATATTTATACAAACATACTTAGTTTTTATTTTATTTCTTCACGAGACAGGTACACAATAGCTCCTTAACACACTATGAAATCAGACTTCCACACTGGCTAGTCATATACAAATGTTAATTCATACACAAAAAAGAAAGCAGTGCCCAATTCCTAAACATTAATGTCA